AGAAAAAACAGGTCTCTAATTTTTTACTTGAGCAAACATTAGTGTGGATCAAGTACAGACAATCCAAATCATAAATAATTAAAAAATTGAACAGATAAAATATATTTAAGCTTATTAATTATTTTTTTATGACAAAGCACAGACAAATGCTGTATAAATCAGAGGTGTAGCTTATTTAGTGGAGAAATAAAAGTGTACCAGGGAATTTTATAATGCTTAATTTCAATTTGACGGTCACTTGCTACACAGATTATTGGTGACATTTTTGACATAATATTGACATCAGTAATCTGTTGAGAACCAAAATTTACTTTCTTTTACTTGAGAATGTCTTGGCCTGGCTCTTGCAGCTAGGGTGAGATTTGGATTTTCATTCCTTTTTACAGTTGTTCTACACTAATAGCAATACCCACAGGAGCACGAGGCAGGGGGGAGTTTTATATCTAACTCAGAGGAGCAACTTCAGCTGAGGGAGGGGAGGTGTCAGTTGTAAGACCTCAAAGAAAGCAGAAATAAGATGTCACAGACATTAATAATCTATCTTTTTATGATACAAAATAAGTACAACCTTCTCATTTTATCAAATGAGAGAGTCTTCCTTTCTTTAATATCATACTAACCATAGTTGTGCATGCACAAGACTACTGTGTGATTACATTATATGTAAGCAAAGTAACCATCCAGCCTAGAACACAGAAACATGCTTCAATACAAATATATCATTATTAAGTACATATCTGCACTTGAAAGACATACAGGTTGTGGTGTTTGTTCGAGCTGAATAAAACACTGACTTCAGCAGTACTGCTTGAAGAGAAAAGTACTATTAAMCATAGGTAATTTTGTCAAATATTCTCCACTATTAGAGACCAGGCTCCTAGCAAACAGTAAATTGTATTGCCATACTCACAGATTATTGTGAAATACTTTTACAACGATGAAAACACGACACTGTGAAATCATTGGCAATGCTGTATTCAGCTACTGCTAAAGAACTCAGCCACTAATATATGAAAAATTTACTCTGACTCTGAATATTTTGTCCTCAAAATTTGTTTTTGAAAGGTAGACAGCACTCTAYTCAGCTCCTTCTATCCTGAAGCACACTGCAGAATTTCATTTATTTCTTAACAATAGATATTTACTGTGTAGCTCTATAAAAGCAGTTTACAGTCACTACCATTTTAAGATATCAGCACTTCCCAGCTGAAAAGGTATTTCTGCTATTCTCCTACTTTACTTAAAAGTAAGAATATTGTGATAACTGTCAGGGAGCTATAAAGCCRTGGGTAACAAATTAAAGTGCTATGAGATCAGTATTTTCCAATGCCCTGAAAAATATTATGTGAATGTAAAAAAATGTATGTATTACTGTAAGCATAATGGAGATTCAGGATAGGAAGAAATAGCTAATGAGAACATCTCCCACAGACAGTCTTCTTATCATATGCTAAGAAGCACTAAATGAGTACCTAAAAGTCAAAAAAGTCAGGAAAACAGAGGTCAAAGCCAGTAGAGCTTGACCCTTTCATTTCATAGTTATGGTCTGCTACAAATGAATTAACCCATCACAGTTTAACAGGAAGTGTTAAACTGAGTGATTTGACACAGTAATCTTCATATATTCAGAAAATGTCCTATGTAGGTGGAGTGACAGATATCTTTTCCTGCATATAATTCATAACAACCTATCCTAGTGCAAAAGTAAAAGTGCAGAGTAATGACAAAGCTTTGTCATTCTAAGCAATGCTACAATTAAATGGGGTCCAAGAGCTAAAACAAATTCAGGTGGAAGGAAGCTAAATAATCTCCTGGCTGCAACAAATGTCATTTTCTCACGGATAGAAATCTAAACTAATTCTGCTGCCTGTGTTCAAGTCACTSAACATTTATAGCAACAAAGCAGCTGAAGAATTTGTTGTGCTGAGAATGYGTATATCCCCCAAACTCTTCCTGTTTTGCCAATGCTCTGTTAAAGTGCTCAAAGCCATTAGTTGCTTTTCAGACTCAAGAAGATCAGTCTCAGTGAACTGCAAGTGAAGATGTGAGAATTACGTCCCTTTTCTGACTGCTTATATACAGACTCTGCACATTTCTACCAACTTTTTGTTCTTTCATGAAGTTATAAATTCAGCTATTAAGCTATCTACATGCCTAAATTTTCTGTGATGATGGCAGAGTTCCAGYGAGTGACTTGAGAAGGAGAAGGTGGYACTTACCTAGGCAGAATGACCTGGATTCTTGGCATCGTAAATCACGTTGAGAAGTTGATCATCAGGCATGAATGCAAAAGAAGAGGATAAAAACTTAATTCTTCAGTGTGTTGATACTGATAATCTGAGGATATTACTTCCTRTCTCCATTTTTACCTAGAGAATCTAGGAAACTTTTATTATCAATCAATTTTAAGCACAAATTTTATGTCCAATTTGAAGTCTTCTGGGATATAAACCAACTTCCGTGTTTTTTTTTATTATTTTTCATTTATATTTCATCTGCTCTTACTGCAAAGGAACATAATATATCTGCTGTAGCCTCCACCGAGGTGGACCCAACATTACTGCTTTCTTCACAAAGAGCTCCTTTGGCTTTCACAGTCACTGTTTTAGAAACTCAGTACAATAAAGCTGGGAGGCACCAACCATGACTGTCCTTGGGGCATAGCAAAAAGCCAAGTTTGTTGTTTCCTTAGGACTTCATGAAAGCAAAAGCCAAGAAACAGTTTTGTTCTTGTTCTGAACGTTTTTCTGTTCTGAGGAATTCTTACCAAAAAGCTATCCCATTTTACACCTGCTTACACCTGCAATCTCTGTTTTTACTTTAAATATAAACTTTGATTCCCTCTCCATGCAAAGATGCTGCTCTACTTTTTATAGCTTCTCAAWATAATGGAAATAATGGATTAACCAAACCATGTTAGTTGATGCAGCCCTAATAACTAGTTAGCTGTTGACCTTGAAACATTAAACATCTTCTGAGAAGTGCTAATGTGCTCTGAACAAGCTCATTGACAAAGCAAGGTCTTTACAGCAGCTAACCTCTCACCCTTTGTTGTTTAAGGCCAGGATTTCCAATGCAGAATCAACTCACTAATGCCTTATGTTTCTTTTAAAACTCCTACATCTTAATTTCTTATATGTGCATATTTATCGATAGAAGAAAATGCATGCAAATACTTAAACCCCTGTTCCTAGTGCTTAGTTTGTCTAGACCCACTAACAGTTTCTTCTGGGTGTATCTG